TAATAAATATTTTATGTTGATAGGCTTTGATGTGGTTGTAGATTTCTTATAGGGTACTTCAAATTTGCTGTTTTTTAAAGCAAAATAAATCTCCAAAAACTAGTTTTATTTCTCAAAAGGTGAAGAGAATTTCAATAATCAACAGTTGTTAAAATAGAGCATATTTATATAAATAAAATAGTAATTTAAAAAGTTTTTTTAATGACTAATAATAAAAAAAAGTGTTTGTTTAACCATAAATTCAAGTGTCATAATAAAGTACAAAACACGCCATTTGAAAGGCGTGTGGTTTCCATAGCAACAATGCGAAAAATTATTTCTGCTTGCTTTTTTCTATCAAACCCTTTGTTCTGAAAATTTATATGTGAGTTTAAACCAAATTTGTTTCTATGCCACTTTCCACATTTTTCAACTGAATGCTCGATGCTTGCTGATTTTGACTCTTAAAGCATTGCAATTTGGTTAACATAAGAAATGTTAACAAGAAATTAAAATGTACATAACTCTCGAAGCAATTCTTTTCAGAATGAATTTATTCTTAAATAGAAACCACTTCCGTATTGTATTTAATCAACTTAACATTAGGGTATTCATACAGTCTAGTGAATGATATTTTTTGGAATGAAAAGGGAAAAGCAGACAGGTACTATTATTAAAAAAACGGAAAGAAAGGTTATAGTGAAAGTATATAATTTATATTTACAGACAGCAAGAAGAAATTCATGAAGGATTGCATGTGTTCTGGAAATATTTTTTTGTTTGTTTTTGTAAGAGAAATTGTATTAATCTATGATTGAAATGACACCTTTACCTGCCAACTCTCTTCATAAAACCCTGAATAAGAAAGTTTCTGAAAGTTTTACACTAAAAAATCACTTAAAGTCTAACAAGTTTATTCCAAAAAGAATTGTGTTTTATTTTATCCCGTAATCTCATTTAGTGTATTTTTTAAATTGGGTCTTTTTATTTCACAGTTCTGTATCATCAGTGAATAATATTCTGTTTCGAAATTCGTAGTGTTCACATGATAATAACAAAGTATTTTTTGCTAAATTATCATAATAATTTTTCTTTTGTTCAGTCAAAGTCCAAAAATGTAAGGAAATCAGTACTGAGACAGTTTGATATTAAACTTAAGGAGGGATTCTTCTCCCATTTCTTGTATTTAAAAAAATTGAATATTTTGTAGATTCAAGAAGACAATATTGATAAATTGTTGTTCATGTATCAGTTATATCAAATTTAACTGTTTTACATATGAGAAGCAAGGTCAAGTCAAGGTTATTATCTTTTTACTGTACATTAAGAATTTCAATAAAAAATAATCTTGTCAATCATGCTTTGCCTACTTTCTATTTTTTTTTAAAGTTCTTCTTTTTGCATAAAAGATATTACCCTATCTTAGTGTCTATCAAATAATAATACCAAATTAATATAAATGCATGTAAGTTAAAAAGAATGTATATTGGCTATTTCGATTTTTTCTATGATTCTTAAATTTTTTGAATATATTAGTTATTTTTATTTTCCTTGAATAATAATTTTTTTCTTATTTTTCATAAAGATAAAAATTTATACAAAAGTTTTGACATTGAATAAGAGTGAAAACACCTTTACAGATTTTCGGCTCAAATCTAATTTGTACTTATAACTAGATTGGAAACCTTTAAGAACTAACATAATTGTAGTTTGTTTGGAAAATCATATTTAATCTTTATTTTTAAAATCTTTTATTCATCAACAACTTTCATTCCCTTATTTAGTTATTTATCAAATATAGATTTAAAAATTTCATTGTTCTGTCATGAGAAACTGTTATATTTCAAACTCAGATTAACATTTCTATTGAAAAATGTTCAAAATGTTTACATCTAAATACATAAGACATATAAGCAAATATATTTTGATTATTTCATCTAGTCAGAAACCAGACAAGTATCCCTCATTCATGCATACAGTTCACTAAAATCGGACTGGAACAGGTGAAAAATAAGACAGCAAGAACAAAAGAATAACAACACAGCAATGTCATAAGTATAACTATGAACCGTCAACAAATAATGAAGGTCATTAAGTGACAATTATTTGCTTTTCGAAATAGTTTTAAAACATACATGGTATCTTAAGCAATTTAACTCATTAACTCGAACCCACTTATGGACAATACACTTGCTGCAAATGCAACCGTTTTGGCAATCAGCGAGAATCGATATCGTTACTAATTGGCCATAATGTTAAAATTCAAAATTGGCCATAATGTTAAAATCTTCAGAATTATGTATGTCAGTGTATTATTAGTTCCAGGGTTTTTATACAAACATTTAAAATTTTAGCATTAAAATTTGTTTATTCTCTTTTAAAATTCAATTCTTTTTTTGCAATAAGCGGGGCAATTATTTAAAACAAATCGCCCAATATTATTATTTTCAAATTCTTTCAACTATATATGAAAAATCGAAAAAAATAAATATGATAAATATCCTATAACTGATCAATTAACAGTCAAGACTGTCTAGAAATTTTCTGATTCAAAGCCTGCTGGATTGTATTAAATACAAAGAGAACGAGCAGTATCCAAGCTCAAAAGTCCATTCAAGTACCGGTAGTACAAATTAAGAAAAGAGCAAACGTTTCTTATTAAAACATTTAAATATATAAGATTCCATTGAGGAACAAGCATCATTTTAATCTGATCATTTCTGCCATGAACTCCCTATCAGTTAAGTGCGTAATGAACTTCTAACAATTGATATGAACACGTCAGTTAGGTTTAACTTATTGATAGAATGAACTGTTGCAAAACGTCATTGTATCGCCCATAGAATTTGCGAAATAATGCTTTAACGAGACCATTCTTGTTTTATCACAGTGTGTGTCCTTTGTTGTCTTGTGTTAGAACGTACGTAGAGTATGTTTTTGCGTATCGAATCAGCTGTAGACAAACTCCATACAGAGGTGAAAAGATTATGTAGTGATACACAAGTAAAGGAAATTGAAGATATGAAAAACGAAGTCACATATTTCTTTTCTATCTTATTGTTTTAGTATTTGAAATACAGTTTAGTGATTGAATTTATCAATTGTTTAATAGATAACATCGCTTTTCATGCACGATTATTGAGAGCACAGGGAAACCTTGGTAACTACGCTGTTGTTGTTTTTGGGAAAGTAACACAGAACTCTGGAAATGCTTATAATGCCAACACCGGTAAATTCATAGCACCTGAAGATGGACTCTACTTTTTCCTCTGGACGATTCTGACAAGGGACGGAAAAATCTTTAACACTCAAATTGTCCTCAACGGTAACATTTTTGGTTACAATAATGCAGACGGCGTGTCAGGCAATTCAAACTTGGCCTCTGGATCTTCATCAGCCGTTATAAAAATGAAAAAGAAAGATGAAGTCTGGATAAGAACACATGGTAAAGACGGGAAATATGCTTATGCTGAATGGTCATCATTCACTGGATTTAAACTGTAACAGAATACTGTATCAGATAGATACGTCAATAGTCAAAATATATGTGGTTAATGATTCAAAATAAATAATGAAAAGGGTTAATGAAAAGGAACACGTCTTGCTAATTTTATGACTTATTGCTTTATTATTATTTAGACTGTTATTGAATCCTATATGGATTGAAGAGTTATCTATCCTTGCTGAGGATCGAAATAACTTAAAATGAAGTGATTTTAGTGTTTGTCTAATGTTAGATTTCCAACTCACACAGATATATGTAAAATCCACATATGAATGGGAATAGAATAAGTATATATTATATATATATATATATATATATATATATATATATATATATATATATATATATAGATATATATATATAAAGCACTAAAAATGACCAACGACACAACAATAAAAATTGTCAAATTTTCAGCCTGTCCCTTCCTCAGGACAAAGAAAAAAGTTAAAAAGTCATAAGAACAAAGGAAAAATAGAAACAAAAACAACTAGCACTACTACTAAGCTACTAAACACTAGATATTTACATACTTAATAATTAAGTATGTAAATATCTAGTGTTTAGTAGCTTAGTAGTAGTGCTAGTTGTTTTTGTTTCTATTTTTCCTTTGTTCTTATGACTTTTTAACTTTTTTCTTTGTCCTGAGGAAGGGACAGGGCGTCCCGAAAATTTGACAATTTTTATTGTTGTGTCGTTGGTCATTTTTAGTGCTTTATATAAATTTCCATCCGTGACCTTGTATCTACTTGATAGATCCGACATTTAGGATATACAGTGTTGTTGGTTTTTTAGTGCTTTATATATATATATATATATATATATATATATAATAAAAAAAATCACAACACCGAAATATTTGCTGACAAGGTTATCGCCATAGAGTTTACGAAACTTTATATATATATATATATATTGATAATTGATCAAACGTTGTTGATAATCTTCTTGCCGAGTTATTGCAAGAGTATTCTTTTCGTTCTTAAAGTTTTAGATGAAACATATAGAGATACCGAAGAATCTTCCTGATAAAAAATCAGAGGTGGGATCAGGTGCCATGTAGGAATTGGCATCCCCTGCTGACCGTTAACACTCGCTGTGTGCCCCTTTGCAAAATTGGGAAATAACGGATAAATCCGTCGTAAATTCAGTGAATAAATAATGGACTAACAATTAGTATAAAAAAAGTCAGCCAGCATTCGACTCAATGATAAATTGTTTTTGCTGACAAGGTTATCGCCATAGAATTTACGAAACTTTAAACAAGACTGCTCATATTCTTGTTTCATGAACTTGTTTGTCAATAATTAACTTGTTTTAGAAATTGTTTATATCTAGATCATGCTCTTTGGTATCGAATCATCTGACAGAAATAAAATCTGTATGCAGGTGATGAAGGTGTATTAATGCGCAAGTAAGGGAATTTGACGATTGAAAAGTTAGTCATCAAGTTTATAATAGAGCTTAAATGGTAAGATTACTAGTAACGTCTTTTTCAAGTAAAATATCCAGATATGAAACAGATATGGCAGACTCTGTAGTAGCTTTTATCTCAAGCTCACCGGGATATATCGTTTCGACTTAAAATTGGAAATAACCATTGTTGACAATACGCCGGCAATATATATCAAAATGTCGAGTTAAAGGCCACACCAAGTGTTTTCTTCTTTTCACTAATTTGATTTTGGACAAATTCTGCTTCACATGAATACAAAAATATGCATGTCTGCTGATGGACTTATACGAGAAGCGCTGACTTTTACAGTTGACGAATTACTTTTACACTGGGACAGTGTACGGAAGCTCTTTTACGATATAAATATTTCGCTCAACATTTAATTTAAGGACAATAACGGGCTATTTCAAATCACATTTAAATTGTTCTTAAAGAAAACGACAACCATCTTACCCTCAACTCCCAGCCTTCACATGTTAGTGCCCCTAACAGCATCACTATGACCACTAGAAAGGTTTGCTTATCTATTATCAATTCTGTACCTCCGTATATGGAACAGGTTTAAATGTCCAAGTAAACAGTCAACTGTCAAATTCAGTGCTTCTCGTAAAAGTCCAATAACAGGGCGCCATTGGTAATGTACCCTTGAATTCCAAAATTTTTT